TTTGAACATGGTTAAGTGATGAGGACGACCCCCGAGCTGGCACCCATTCTTCTAATTACCACACCAACGGGAGGAAGCTTGAGTTCTCAACAGATTTAACGTGCATCGCTCCCCTGCACGGCGGGTCTTCAGCGGTACAGGCTCGAACTCATATATAGGATAGAAAATAATTGGGAGAATAATAAGGATGTCTATACAATAAAAACGTTTTTATGTGATAATGAAAGCACTTTCACTTGAAATTGTGGTTTGAATCTAGTGCAGGGTACTCAACCTTTTTTCCCCGCCGGGCTGTATACACAAGACAAGCCTTTCACACGGGCCGCATCATGTCGATAATGGGATAAATAATATAAGACAGTGCTTCTCAAACTTTCAATGCTGGCGCCCCCCTTTTCAATCACAATTTTTATCGCGCCCCCCTTCTTCATTAATAATGTAGTGAATGCAATAATAATGCACTTTGATGCCAAAACTACAATACGCGATCTTAATTATAAACCATACAAATAAATAACATAAGTATTAAATTTTGTATACGTTACTTTTAAGCAAAAAAAAATTAAGTAATAGGATAATTATTATGTTATTTTTCCTTTCTCTAATTTTTAAATTGAACATATTGCAAAATGCGGTGGCTGCTTAGAAAACAAAATATAGATATCAGCTACATATAGAAAAAGAACTCAGAGGGTCAATTTCTAATCATAAGCATTCCTTATAATAACTTTACTTTCCAAGACAAGCCCATGGAAGTCGTTAATACTTATTAAAAACTTGTTCTTAATTTAGNAAGTTTTTAATAAGTATTAACGACTTCCATGGGCTTGTCTTGGAAGTCGTTAATACTTATTAAAAACTTGTTCTTAATTTAGTATTAATTAATTAGTTATAAAATACTCTGTGCAGAACTGATACATTAAAAGTATACCGGCTGAAGTGCCCACTCTTTGCAAGAGTTCATCTATAAGAAAATAAAACATTATTGATATAATAGCTGAATTGTAAGGAGAGTAAAGCCAAGTGCGTGTCAATGTTTACAAAAATGTAAAATGATTTTTTTAAAATGATTGCTCCAATTATAATTAGTTTTAAGTGAATTGTAATTTTAAGCCTCTCAGAATTAGCCTTTATAATTGATGTTATAAATAATGAACAATAATATAAAATTCCGATGAAGAATAATTGTATTATTTTTAATATTTAAAGCGAAAAGACTTCAACATGTTTTAACCCGGGAGCAGGCGCGCACTCGATACGATTATTGAGTCACACCAATCCTTATATATATATATAATTACTATTTTATTGTACACGATACAAATCGTGATTCCAGTGAATAATTTAATTTAGAGAAAGTAAACTTACCTACTTTGCAGAACTTTTCAATTTTTTTCGTTGGTAACAAATAAACAGTTTGGCCAGAATTAACGATTCTGTGATCTGTGTGTTCCGCGCGACCACTTCCGGGTTAAAAGTCTTGGCCAAGTAATCCTCCAAAGTGCTCTCCGAGATTTTCCAAATATCATAAAACTCTTTTGCATGGAAAAAAACTCAACACAGAAATAAATACATTACTTACAACTTCCCTAAATGAGAAACAGACACATATAAGAGGGGTCATAACTAACTGTACCAATAACTTAGAAGGTCAAATAGATTATCAGCAAAAACAGATTACAGCTATAATGTGCAGTATTTCAAAAATAAGCACAGTGATGAATTTTTTGTTCCTAAATTTTTTTCTATTCTGGGTCTGGGATTCGTTTTTCCTCTGAAAGAGTAGTAAAAATCACTTATCATGAGATTACAGCAAATAAAATAAAAGTTTTTTTATTTGGTTTTTTGGATCAAAGATAGCTAATTAGGTATTGAAGAAGTTTTTATTTTTGAGATGACTTATATCGCATATAAATTATATCAGAGTAAAAGTACATTTTTTACTATGTCTGAAAGTATTTTGTTTTAATTCTCATTCCAGAGTAAATTAATTATTTTTTAAATCTTTTATTTTCGATATGCTCGCGCCCCCCTCGTAAGAGTATCGCGCCCCCCCCCGGGGGGCGCGCCCCACAGTTTGAGAAACACTGCTATAAGACCAACGCAACATTGGACAAAGCAAAATTGATCAAAATATTAAAACTCATTTTAAGTCTTTATTTTAATTTCATATTCACTTTCCGATCAAACATACACATGAAAATATTTATTTTCATGCCTTTTTTACTGAGTTATGCGATAATTTCTGTTTCCTTTCATCTGCGGTCAAGCCTCTTGCTTACATTCTACTATTAAAAAAACAAATTGATACATTCGATTGCTTGATTCATAGAATATCCCGATAATTTTTTAGTAAATTTTTCTTCAGTAATTAAATTTCTTAGTGCAATGGGCCCTGACCAGGCCAGAGGAGCACATGTAGCCCGCGGGCCGCAGGTTGAGTATGACTGATCTAGAGCTTGTTTCTACTTTGCGTTGACAGCTTTGAGACGGAAGTCGGCTTGGTGGCGTAGAGGAAGTGCCCGCTTCTAAAGCCCTAGGTTGCGTGGTCGTTCCTTGCTGCAGTCGATAGGTTTTCTAGATGCGAAAATCGTAGGTACGCATGTCATATGATTATGTGGCATATAAAAGATCCATTGAGTATCAATTTGTGTGGCTCTGGTACTCTCGACAAAATTTAAATCGCGGCAATATTTAGCATCGGACGAGAGCTTGAATTAATTCAAATGTCCAAATTTGGTAACGAGCACTGCCACTAGATCAGGGGTACTCAACCTTTTTTTCTGCCGGGCCACATACATATGTTAGCTACTTCACGCGGGTGGCAACATGAGGATTAATGGAGGGGTGGGGAGAAATTCTTTAAGCCAGCGTTTCTCAAACTGTGGGGCGCCCCCCCCCCCCTTGAAGGGCGTGATAACTCTACGAGGGGGGCGTGAGCATATTGAAAAGTCAAAAACAAAAGGTTATTTAAAAGATTATTAATTTACTAAAAGTAAACAAACAAAATACTTTCTGATATAATAAAATATAGAATACACACATTAACACTGATATAATATACTTATAAACGTATCAGTACTGTGTATGCACAATGTATATTTTATTATTAATTTAACAATACTAAGTTAAGAACTTGTTTGATAATTATGAGTGACCCCATGGGCTTGTATTAATACTGATCTTGATAAGCTATTCACTCCCCAATACCACCGTTTACCACGTAGACGAGCGTATTTTGATGTTTTTTTGAGCGGGAGGGGGGAGGAGAAAAGAGAAATAAATCAGCAAATCCTCTGAAATAAGTAATTCCTTCGCAAACACTTTCAAGGTCCTTTTATTGCATTCCAAGGCCTTCGGAATAGCACTGTACAGAAAATATCGCGTACTTCGGAAAGTCGTATATATACGTCCAGAAAATTAATGCTTTGGCTGAGCGAGACGGTTATATACGTCGGTGGTACGCGTAAGAGGTTTAAGTCGTATTGTAGCTTTAGTGTCAAAGAATAGTATTACTGAATTCAATACATTGTTATTGTATGGAGGGGGGCGCGATGAAAATGATTATTGAATAATGGGTCACGTATACTGAAAGTTTGAGAAGCACTGCTTTAAGCCCAATATAACATAGTAACTTTAAAATGTGAAAAATTGATCAAAATATTAAAACTCCTGTTTCGTTTTTTGAATTTTTTAAATTTTTTTTTTATTTTTTATTTTTGTCATGTATGTGTCTAAATTGGAAGCACCTAAGAATCACTCCTTCACAATTTCTGCATCAGTAAACGCTTTGCATATGATTACCAATAATATAGCAATTTTCATAAGGTGCCTTTTTACCGCTGTGACATTACCACTGACAAAATACTTTTTTGATGTTATAAAGATTATTCAAGAAAGCCTATTTATTATCTCTTGGAAGAGATCTTCGAGGAAATGTGTCATTGAACGCGCGATTCCTGTTTAGTGATATTTTTTAAATACAACGCTTTCATGACAAATCCAACAATTACTGATCCATGCTTGTTTTTCACTGTAAAATAGTCAACTTCCCAATCATCTTGAAGCAACCAATTTTCTTCGAAGAGTTTTCGCTTGCAAGATGTGAAAGATAGTTAAAAATTAGTTCTACTCATAAAATGCTCGCTACTCCACTGTTGTCTATTATCACTAATCAGAAAAAAATATCAATTCGCTCCCATACGCCATCGCCTCAAAAAGGACAATTGATATAATCGATTTCTTAAAAAAGAATTTCTCACCAAATTTTTATAAATGAATGATTTTCTCAGAACAATGGGCCATCTGTGACTGGGTCACTTACAAAGACTCGGTGGATCGCAGGTTGAGTATCCCTGCACTAGATGGTACCACCATGAAGTGGCACTCATATTTGGAGACTTGCCGTGACTGCAAAGGCTTTGTTGCCTATACGCAGCCCCCATTACGGAAAAAAAAGTGTGTGTGTACTTATGTACGCACGTAAGAAGTTATACTTCTTTGGCGTAACAAGATTAAAATCTTTCTAAAATTCTCTTGCAGGGCAAGCTGGCCCAAGGACGAAGGGCGGTCACGAGCAGAGTTGAACGATACTAACCTTCAGTCAATCGGACCAGCCAAACCTGAGATAATCACGATTTAAATCAATTTAAACACCCCCGCACAGGGACAATAGGACCAATAATACGGGGAGGGGGTCGAAGGCGGGAATTATCTGTCCCGTTCTGCATATTTCTAGACAAAGCATTTTGGTATTCGTTCTTACGGAACGCAAAGCAAAGGTTCGCTAACGCGGGGGTATAGCTCAGTGGTAGAGCATTCGACTGCAGATCGAGTGGTACCCGGTTCAAACCCGGGAGTCTTCTTCTTCAGGGAAGTGAAAAGAAAATTTTTTTTTGAGGATTTTGAAGGCAGGAATTATTTGTCCCATTCTGTATATTTCTAGACAAAGCATTTTCGTATCCGTTCCTACGGAACGCAAAGCAAAGGCTCTCTGACACGGGGTGTATAGCTCAGTGGTCGAGCATTCGACTGTAGATCGGGATGTCCCCGGTTGGAACCCGGGTGCCCCCATTTTCAGGGAAGTGAAGAGAAATAATTTTTTTGAGAATTTCGAAGGTGGCAATCTGTCCCGTTCTGTATATTTCTAGACAAAGCATTTTCGTATACGTTTCTACGGAACACAAAGCAACGGTTCGCTGACGCGGGTGTATAGCTCAGTAGTAGAGCATTCGGCTGCAGATCGAGAGGTCTCCGATTCAAACCCGGGTGTCGTCTTCTTTAGGGACGTGAAGAGAAATATTTTTCTGAGAATTTCAATGGCGGGAATGATTTGTCCCCTTCTGTATATTTCTAGACAAAGGATTTTCGCAATCGTGACGGTGTGCGTCACGTCCGTGACGGTTTTGCGTTACATCCGTGACGGTGTGCACGCGCATTGTAAAAATTTACCCTCATTCTATTTCTCTAAACGCCCCAAAAGAAGTATAACTTCAAAAATTTAAAGACTGACGCCACAAAAAAGTGCGTACAAACCCTTTGTAAGATCCGGCTTGGGGTCTAAAACCTAACTTTGTATGAAGGCCCTAAAATTATCCGTTACGCCCCAGGATGCGAGAATGGCGGACTTTCACCTTTGGGACCTCCCCTGCTCAAATTCCAATGTGTGTCACTGGTAATGATAGTGAGTAATGGTAGGCCTAGAGAGAGGACTGACACAGACGATGGACATGACATAGTATTGAAATCTGGCCACTGTTGCCAGTAGGAATAAAATTCGAAAATCCCAGTTTTTCAGAGAATATGTCCAAGAATAATGTTTGATGTTTAAAATTATTCGGATCACACAGGATCTTATTGAGGCCAAGTCTAGAATGAGAAGAGGCCTTGGGCTCGAACCCATTGACCATACCTTTAAATATCCCTGTTTGGGATTATATAAAAGAGTTAACGTTGCTCGTCCTTCAAATATTAGGCCAATTATATGTGTTGATAAATTTGTTGCAAGACGCTATAGTAAAAATATATTATGTGATTTCAGCTTTAATTTTAGGATTTTGTTATTTAAAAAAAATAAATAAATAATTTCGCGTTTACTGACAGCTGAATAATTTATCTTATGCCACTCAGATTTCCTTTTAAGGTAATCCCGTCCTCTATCTAATTATTGGATGGGGGTATGAGTAGTAATAAGTTATGTCCTTAGTGGTAAAGTCTGTCTGAGAGAGTAAAAGAAAAGCATTCTACGCATTATTGTAAATAAAAAAAAAGCTGATAATTGATTAGAGGATTTGGTGAGAATCGAAATATTAGAACTGCATTTATGAGATTCCCATTCTATTGTGGTGAATGCTGGTGCAGCGCTATTGATCAAACCTCGAGATTAAATTTTTGTATTGTTCGTTATAGCATTCAATATTCCATTTGTTTCGAAATATGTCTCGTTTGTTTTATAGGTAACTATAAAATCGCAAATGTAATAAAAGCATTCTGCTTGAATTTAATAAAGCTGCTCTGTTTTACGGTGTTTATTATGACAGTTTCAACAAAAACAATCAAAATATTAATAATCTGAATTTTTTTTTTTGAATTTTTGCTATCAATTATTATTATTACTAACTTAATAAATGGGAAAATTTGCAGAATATTTTCCGATGAAACTAAATTTGTCATCTCGCAAATTGAAATAAAAAGAATGGCAGTGAAACATTTACCGTTTTGGGAAAAATAAACGAAATTTATAGTTGAACTGAGTGATTCAACTTGAACCACAATTCGCTAGCAGTGGAATCACTCAGTATTTTATACAATGTATAACATCTTAATTTCTTCATATCATGAAAATTCCTTGGAATGCGTGGATGCTTTGCTCTAAGGAAGGGCAACCAGCGGCCAGCAAAGCGTTTCTATGCGGCCCGCCAAGACAGTCAAAAACTGATCTTTCAACCGAGATTTCTTACTCACGTACGATCAGAGATTCCTTTTTAATTTTTCACTATTAGGAAAACAAGGTACCTAAAAGTGTGTAAGATATCATATGCGGAGTTTAAGGGACGAGGTCACAAGAAGATTTCAGTATTATAAGAAAATTCAGCCTAAATTAAATTTGCTTTGTTATCCTTCTACTTCTGATATTGATACTGCCCCTGAGGCGCTACAGCTTTAAGGTATCCGACTACGTTCGGAACCGTGATTTTAAAAAAGCGCATAAATGGATAATTTTCGTGATATTTAGTGTCACTTAGATTAGAGAACATATATAAAATAGTTTTAAGGACATTTTGAGAAAAAAAAATTATTTAAATATAATATTTTGGCAAAAAATTAACTTAGAATAACCCTTTTTCAAAATGTCCTCCTTTTGTGAAATATGCTTCTAATATAATAATATTTTGCCTGTGTATAGCTTAGACCTCTGTACAGAGGCTCAACTATGATTTTTGAAAAATTCACATTATTTTCAGAGTTGCAACCCATTGAAATAATTATCGGCGTTTTTTTTCTTAAAATTTCTCCCCTCTGTTGTCGTAAAACATGGATAAATCCACTTCTAATATATATATTTTAAAAATTCTAGTTGAGCCTCTGTTCAGAGGTCTGTGTTATATACAGGCAAAATATTATTATAATAGAAGCATTTCTCGTAAAAGGAGAATATTTTGAAAATTGGTAATTTTTTTGTCAAAATATTGTACTTAAATAATTTTTTATTGTAATACTATTCTTAAAACAATTTTATATACATTTTCTAATCTAAGTGACCCTAAATATCATTAATATTATCCATTTATTTGCTTTTGTGCAAAATCACGGTTCCGAACGTAGTCTCATTGACTTGAAGTTATATTACAGTGTGTTTAATGCTATGAGAGAGAGAGAGAGACATTGTATCTAACACACCCATGTCAAATGAAAAATTTACATGCGTGAAGAAGTTTGCGGGGAAATTGTTGTTTATATTTTGGTCGATATACATTTGTTATGAATGCAAGTTAGCGGACATAAATTTACCAGCTGAGATGAGAATCTAAGCAAGTAATCTCCATTTAAAGAAATATTGAGGTGCAACTTGGCGATAGATGACTGGCTGTTGGGATTCTTGTGACATACGCTATGAGTTGGGTGAGTGAGTGAGTGAATGCTGGTTTTCTTGGCGCAAGAGCCAAATTTGGCTATACTGCACCAAATATTTGTAAAAATATTTTAAGGCATGATAAATTATCTAAAGTGAGTGAGTTAGAAGACATTTCAATAGAAGTTAAAATATATAGATAAAGTATAAAAAGCGTATTCTAATGTTAAAAGCAAACCAATTTTGATGGGGTATTTTCCCCACCAAGTCAGACAAGATCATAAAAAAACAAACAAAAACAGATAGTGTTAAAACAGCTGTGAAAAAAAGTATGTTTACAGTCAAAGTTTAAGCAATCAATGTGTCATAAATGAAAATTAGTGCTTATATTTTCTTTAACAACAAGACGTATTCATCCTCTACATATTCTGTCATATCCTCGTCGCAGGAATCTTGTATAGGGAAACTTTTCCGCGGTTTGTGTGGTACCATTTTTATTTCTATTTTAGATTCATTTATTGATTTTAATACATTTTTTTCCTTGTAAGTTTAGAATTTAATTTTAAATCCTTACTTATAACACACACAGATGAAGCGGCGGGTCGAATATCGGAATTGGAACTGGTTAACGGCAAAATGTTTGTTTCATTCAATGAGTGAGTGAGTGAATGTGGGGTTTTCTGGCACAAGAGCCAAATCTGGCTATACTGCACCAAAAACATTTGTTAAAATATTAAAACATCTGACAAAATATGTAAAAATATTGACAACACAGTTTTAAAAAAGTTAAAATTTCAGACCACGTATAAAACTCGTTTTCAAGTAATCAAAGCAAACAAAATTGGTGTGGACTTGCCCCACCAAGTCCGATATATAGGATGGAGAATTATCACTTTTTGTTCTTAGTCGGGGTTAACCAGCGTCCAGTATCCCATTTCACTTCTTCTATCTCCTCCTCGACATCGTACACCAGCATGTCCTCATCTGACGTGAATGGTGAAGATTCACTTTTTCTGGGTTTAAATGGGTTGTTGAGTCGTGGGATTGAGTCGTCGTTTATCAGTACACTTTTTCTCGCGAGATTTTGTCATTTTTGGAGCCTGAGATGTAGAAGGTATTGTATCGGATGTAGTGGAAGTTTGAAGAACAGGACTTGTTTCAGCTGGTGAAGGTGAAAACATTGATCCTGTAGTTTTAAATTTTTTTTTATTGGATGAGGATGATGCAACAGAGGTGCATAGACTATTAGATGTGACGGGAGCAGTATCTATTAAAGGATTATGTGGTTGAGATTCGGAGGACGATGTAACCGTGACAAAAGATGTGGATGGTAACAGTTGAGTTGATGTAGATGATTTGGTAACTGTAGGAATTCTGGAAGTCATAGTTGGCTTCGGATCGGGTATTAACGGTTGTAGTAATTTCAATGGCAGGCATACTATTTTTGTAATGGTTTCATCAGTTTGGGTTGTTATGGTTGCAGTTGAGGGTTTGGTAATCTGGGCGTATGTTTGAGATATTTGTGGGACTATTAATTTTCGGGCTTCAGGATACGAGATATTTTTATTTGGTTTGATTTTCTGAATTTGGTTTTCAGTTCTCCACTTGGGGCAGAGTTTTGAATCAGCGGAATGGGATTGAGAACAGTTAATACATTTAGGCTCTAGAATGCAATCTGTGGAAGCATGTCCAACAGATGCACAACTAGAGCAAGAACTAAGTTGAACGTGGCAGGAAGTTTGTGAGTGTCTGAACTTCTCTGGCACACTTAAAACATCTCAGAGGATTCTGAATGTAAGGGCGAATTTTGCAGTTAAGGTAGCCGGCTTTTATTGTAGGCGGAAGTCTCGGGCTATTGAATGTAAAAATTAAAGTTTTGTAGGAAAAATGGTAGCATCTTTTTTTATTATAATTCTACTGACTTGAATCACATCCTGATCAGAAAATCCTTCAAATATTTCTGATTCAGGAGTGCTCAACAAGTCAGGTTTAAATATGACAC